CCTGCCGGGCGCCTCCCGGGGCGGAGGAGTGGCAGGGCAGCCGGCGTCCCGGGGTTACCATGGTTACCATGGTTACCGGTTCGGGCCTGGGCGCCTTCGTACCCTGAGCTGGGCTAGCGCTTCTGGGAACATTCCCCGAGGGACCAGAAACCCCAGGGCGGGGGGCACCGGCCTGGGGCACGTGACTGAGCCCTTCCCTCGCCCCCCAGGGGCTTTTGTGAGACTTTCTCAGTGATGCTCACGGAGCGCATGCCCACCTGGCCCGTAGTAAGCGTCAACTGTTGACTTGGGCGTAGGTGACGGCAGCCACGTTGCTAACCTTTGGGCGAGGATTGTTTATAAGGGAGGCGGGTGCACAGCTAGCTAGATTTCTGGCAGGAAGCCACCGGGCGGAAGTTTGCTGAGGGTCAGGTGGTATCAGGGCATAGGTGGCCCCCGGGGGCCGCGGGGCAGTGAGCTGAGGGCCGGGCCTCTCCCTGGGTCCTCTGTCGAGTGTCAGCTCTCCCCCGTTGCTGCTGCCTTAGCCGCCTATCACCGGCCCTCCTCCCCTTCTCCGTACGCATCCCAGGCACAGACCCTGACCTTAGGCTCCCAGGGAAGCTAGGCTCTTACGCGCAGCCAGAAAAGAACAAAGAGGGAGGCAGGTCTGCTCCAGGAGTGAATGGAAGCTGTACAGCTGGCCTTCCAGGGAAAGACAAGTCTGTCTGAATGATATCCTTTCCTTTCCTGTCTGCCCTCAACCTTGTGAATTACTGGAGTGGGCAAGGTCTTATAGAATGTCTGTCGAGGATGTCTGCAGGGTTTAAACACTGGCACAGAGGGCTAAATCTGGGCCTGGGCAGGGCAGACCCCATCAACTCTCCTGCCAGAATGACCATCTTTTCACCTTAGGTTCCACAGCCTTTCCAGGTGGGTGGAGGGTGGAAGGAGGTTGAGGGTGGAGGGATGTTGAGGCAGGAGGGTGCGGGGCTAGGAGTGTGCTGCCCTTGCTAGGCATGCCCTTATAAGGAGGCAACTGGATACAGTAGGGCAGGCCCTACCCCCAAATCACAAAGAGGCCCTAGGTTTGTGCCACTGCTCTTCAGGGCAAGTACACTTTTGACTTTGTAGGAGAGACTGGTGGGCTTGAAGTTAGGCATTGGTTCCAGTCCTCTCATGTCTGGTTAGCTGTTTTCCCCACAGATTAGGGTGAGCAGTGCAGAGGGGTGACATGGTTAGTGGTGAGAAAGGAAAGGTGCTGACTGTGGCCTGTAGGCCACACCTCCTTCCTTCTTGGTCAGTGACCCTGCCGACTCACAGATTAGCCCTGGAGTCTTATTCAGTTCTGTGTCTCTCAAAGTGAGGTGCCTGTGCCTTTCCCAGGAGTACGTGGGGCTCTGTTGGGTCTACAGATGAAGCTTCAGGAGAAACCTGTGGCATTGCCCTGAGTTGTCAGTTGCATCTGCAGAATTTTGGGGGCACGGTTCTGTGAATATTAAATGCTGTATTCCAGGGTAGAATGCAAAAATGCAGCGTGTTTTAGAGATGCAGCAGGAATTCACACAAGGGTTGTGTGCCTGGCTGGTCCTTGGGGTAAGGTTTTCCTCCTCCAGGGTGAGGGGATCAGAGAGAGGAGCTGGAGAGGGTCTACCCTGGGTCCTGAGAGCATCTGGAGGTGATATCTTGGGAGGGGACAGGATTGTATGGTGACAGCCCCCTCACGTGGAAGATATCAGCATTGAGGTCCCCAAGTGGACATCCTCCAGCCCTTTATTGCTAAAGGATTCCTGGCTGGAGCCTGCTGGTCTGGGTTGACACCTGGTCCTCCCCCAAGGCTGGCTGTGGGTTGGACAGCTGGGGTAGGGTTGGAGCCGGAGGCCAAATGCTGACTGCAGCAGGAAGCACAGCCGAGCTGTCAGGTGAGGCCAGGCACAGCGGAGAGGCAGGGAGCCGTGTCGCCCTTTGGGCACTCTGCTGGGGCAGGCAGGCCCCTTTGCACCTGTGGTTCTGGAACCCCTTGCTGTCTGAAGGCAGATGTCTAAGGCTGTGCTGAGGAGCAGTGCAACGCTTGAGTCCTTTGTTTTAGAAGGAGACCCTGGGGGCCCACGAAGCAGTCCCACTGCAGTTCGGCTCACTTTATCTGGCTTCCTTGCCTGCTGTCTGCATAAGGTTACCTGGGAAAATGGAAAACGGCAGAATTCCAGACCCAGGTGGAGGGATCAGGTGCAGAGGAGCTGCTGCAAGTTTAATGAGCTAGTTGCTAATTGCTGCCTCCACGGCCCCCGCTCAGCGATGGCCTGGGCTTGCTCCCTGCCCAGCAGCCAGCTCCCTGGACCCTCCTTGAAGGCTCCTGGAGTTCCTGGTGAAGCCAGGCTGCAGGCTGTGGGTAGAGGAGGGAGTTGGGTGCAAGAGACCCTGCTGGTGAGGTGCAGCAGGGAGGCGGGGAGGCAAGGCTGCACATCTGGGCATCAGAGAAGCCACGCTCTGGGCTGGAGGAAGACGCCCCCTCCCCTTCCTGGCCTCATGGCATTTCAGCGGTGTGTGGCTGGGCTGTGGGACTTGCTCACATGCAAGAGGAGAAATGGACCTCGGCAGATGAAGATAGCATACCAGCGGCACAGGGCTGATGAGGAAGTTAGAGCTGGAACTGCTGCTCGGTCTTACCTGGTTCCCATCTCTGTTCTGAGAGAGGCACCCGTTGTCCCAACCAAAATCCAAGCCACATTTTCTGAGTCAGAGGACTTCCTGTGTGGCTGGCCCTGTGAATGGTGACAAGTGACCCTTGCCAAAGGCTGAGTCTTGGGAGAGCACTGGCCTGAATCCTTGAGGGACATTCTCTCTTTAATCCTCCTTTAATCCTAACCTCCCTTTGAGGTGGATATTGATGTAGCTGGGGTCAAAGGGCCAGCTCCTCTGAGCCCTGGAGCGGAGAGAGGGTGCCGTGAGATCCACCTGCCACCTTGCTGCCACCTTGCTGTGGGGCCTGGGGCAAGCCGCTGCACCTCTCTGCATCTCCTCACCTATCTCAGATGATAGAGGGCAGGCTTCTGGGTGCTGTGAGAACTGTGTGCTGAGCATCCGCAGAGACTCTCGTCCTTTCCAGTCATCTCCCGAGGCTGCCATCCCAGCGGGCTCCCCCTGACTCCTTGCTGACTCCTGCCCGTCTCTCTTGTTTCAAGCTTGTGCGATCTCTGGCCTCTTCAACTGCATCACCATCCACCCTCTGAACATTGCGGCCGGCGTGTGGATGATGTGAGTAGCACATGGCCGTCCCGCCCCAGGGGTCTCGCTGGTCGGGAGTCTGTGGGGCACCTCCTGGGGCAGAGGAGTGGCAGGGGCCGTGGGAGCGGGCATCCTTGTGGTTGCCATGGTTACTGGCTCCAGCCTGGGCGCCTCAGGGCTTGTGGGTTTCTGGCCACAGCATGGGGCTTCTTCCCCTTCATATCCCCACCACGTTTGGTTTCCTAATGAGAGGTCAGGGCCCAGGGAACGCCCACCCTGGCCTTCATCCGGTGCAGGTGCGAGGCCATCAGTGGTCCAGACATTTCTGAAGCATCTGCTGAGACTGCAGATACCAAGTCCACTACACTGGGGCCCTCGCCCTCTGGAAGCTCCCAGGACTGGAGTGGGCAAGGCCGTTTGTTGGGGCTGGCTGAGGACTGGGTTGGATGGTCCGCTGGGAGAGGACGCTCTAACTCGGAGCTGTGCTAAAGATAGATGGGAAAGGCGGGTCGGAGTTGTCACGGGAACCCGTGGTCAGAACACCCTCATGTGCGTTCCATGCCCACCTCCTGCCAGGGTGGCGCCATCCCGTCAGAAGGGAAGGTGGGGTGAGGGCAGGCCCGTGCGACTTGAGGCACATGAGAAGTGGCTGTGACCAGGAATTGACTGTCCTCGTGGGGCTTGGTGCCTTGAGGGGCACAGAGTTGGACGCGATTCAGATCCCGTCCTCAGTGACCTATGGCCAGTGGAGAGCCTCGGGGGCCTGCTGTGGCGGGGTCCCCAGCGCCTGTGCTGGCCAGTGGTAGATAGGGAAAGGGGATGGACAGAGAGGCGCCTGCCCCAGCTTCAGGGGGTGGAGTCGGAGCCTGGCCGAGTTTGAAGTGGAAGGGGCTGGCCCAGCACAGAGTGAGCCAGTGCTTGGAGGCCTGGTGTGTGGGAGGCTTGGGGCGGGGTGCAGTGGTTAAGAGTCGCAAAGAGAGTGCCTGCCCTGGGCTCGGGGTGGCTCTTGGGTGTCCTGAGCCTGCATTTCTGTTACACAGGCATAATGATGGCACTTTTCTCCCAGGTGTGGGGACAGACAGAAGGGCCTGGCCCAGTGTCTGGTAACTGATTGTTACCCACGCATAGAGAATACCATGACCACAGCAGACACCCTCCATCACCAGTGGCATAGCTGTTCCCACCTCAAACACGGGGCTGGACACAAGGACTTGCTAAAGTTCTTCCTCCCCAGTGTGGGCTTCCCCTGGGTGTCCCTGGGCCTGGGGCCAGTGGCATCGGGTGTGTGGGCAGCTCTCCGTGACTGTTTCGGGACTGCATGGCTCCAGCTCTCTGCCTCCCTGGTGGGGCAGCCTTCCTGGTGCTGGTGCCACTGACAGCTCTTGATGGCCATGGCGATAATACTAACAGCAGACAGAGGACACAGCTGCCAGTGCTCCATCTGTGGATGAACCCGCTGCAGTGTTATAGCAGTGCCATGATGTGGGGTCCTCTTTCCTCCCTCTCCCACAGGAGGAGGAGAAAGGGCAGCTGAAGCCCAGGGGCTTCCCTCTAGGAGTGTTCATTTCAGCTGGGGAGATGGGTGCAGGGGCAGCTGGGGAGGGCTGGAGTCTTCAGCAGAGGCTCTTCAAGGGGTACAAGCAGGTGCCCTGGAGCAGCCAGGCAGCTTCCCAGAGGAGGAGGGATGAGGGCAGGAGGGTGAGAGAGGTGGCATTCCTTATGGCACTGGCACTGGGGGCCGCCCTCATCTTCCTGGGATTGTCAGTTGCTGCTTTTCTCCCGCCCTGGTCCCTGCAGCATGAATGCCTTCATCTTGTTGCTGTGCGAGGCGCCCTTCTGCTGCCAGTTCATCGAGTTTGCAAACACGGTGGCGGAGAAGGTGGACCGGCTGCGCTCCTGGCAGAAGGCTGTCTTCTACTGCGGGTGAGGGGCTACTGGGCGGGGTCCTGTGACACAGTTCCCCAAAACCCCACTGACAAAATAGGACCCAACAGTCAGGTGAGGGTGGGCAGTGTATTCAGTTCCTCTCTGTAGAAGTGTAAACCGGGATTGCCTTTGTGCACAGTGATTTGCTGATAGCTGCCAAAACATGCCCCAGCGGTTCTGCACGCGGGAACTCAGCTGTCGCCGTGCTGTAATCACTGGAAGGTTCAGAGGTATATGAGCATGTGTGGCAGCATTCCGTGCAGTTGAGAGAAATGGGAAGCGTCTGGAATTTTGGTCCGTCCACTGGGAGTTGTTAACCAGATGATAGTAGGTCTGTAGGACATGCTTCTCTGCAGCCTTTGCGAAGAGTGGGTTCATCTAGATGTCCTGGCGTGAAAGGGGAGAAGCAGGTTGCAGAGCAGAAAATGTGGTTGTCCTCTAAATACGCTTGTTCAAAATTTTCCCATTTCTAACAATGAAATCAGTATGTAATACTTCTCTGAGTCATAGGATGGAACTAATTTCAGGATAAGTTTAATGCATGGAAGCTCCTAGAATAATGCCTCCAGTGCATAGGAGGCTGGCGGCAACAGTATTGATTATTGTCTAGGTTCTCTTTAGAAAGAAGTCTAGATGCAAGCTTGCTTTCCCTTCAGAGAAGCCTGGTAGTTTTGATGGTAAGAGCGCAAGCCACATGCTTACTTGTGGAGCCATCTCCTGCCGTATCTAAGTCACGAAGGACACAGGATCACAAAGCTCTTATCTACACGCAGTGTCATGTCGCTAGGGGTTTAAAAAACTGTATTTTAAAAATGCTAGCCATAATAGAAATTCATTAACAATAATTTGGAAAATAGAACAACGTTACTAGAAGCCCACTGCCTGCTAATCTTCTGATGTGTGTGCTTCCTGTCCGCAGGCATTTTTTAAAAGCCTGCTCTTAACACAGTTATAACCATTACGAATAAGTTTGTATCCTGCTTTTTTCACGTAGTGTCATGATACAAGCATTTTAACATCGCCACAGATTTTATAACATTCTTTCAATACAGCAGTGTTCGTTCAGCTGGATGATTTTCTTCATTTCTTAACTGGTGTAACTCAAGCTGTGATAAACATCTGTCTGCTAAAACTTTTTCTGTGTTTATGATGATTTCCTTAAGATCTATTTTCAGGTGTGGAATTACTGGGTCAAGGATTCTGATCATTAAAAATATTTTAAGACGCATGGCTATGTTGCTTTCCAAAGAGGTCCCTTGAGTCTCTCCCCCGCCCGCACCCCTGCCCAGGGTTGCGCACCACTTCACATTTGCATTTATCTATTCGTTATCTAAGAGGAAAAATAGTTTCCCTCATGTTCCCAGTGCATTTTCTGATTTGAAAATTTTCAAGTTTCCTTTTTAACCTGTGGGAACCTCAGTGTTCTGCTTCGCAAGTTCAGTGTGTTTTTCTGTATTAAAGATTCAATGATCCTTGGTTGTATTTCCTGCAACGATTTTTCCAGCCTGTTGTTTGCCTTTAATTTTGTTTTTGTCAGAAGGTTCCCCGCCGTGGTCTTTCTTTTTCTTGCTAATTTCTATTCTTATTTTTATCATTTGGAAGTTTTTTAATGACAGAAAAATCTCACAACCACATGTCTACAAGAGTGGAAATTCAGGTAGAATGCAGTGGGCCATGAGTCTCGTCCTCCCGCACAGGCAGCTTCCTCCAGGGAGGCGACAGGACAGAGCGCTGGTCTCCAACCTGCAGGTATCCTCCTGGCCCAGTTAGCCCAGGAATTGCTGCTGGCCTGGAAATTCCCGCCAGGATGGAGAATCAGCCCCGGGGATGCTTACGCCCCACTGGACCCTGCCACCAGGTGACGCCAAACAGCAGCAAGATCAAGGCTGACCCTGCGGACCCCGCAGCCTGCAGCCCTCCCATGATGAGACCCTCCCATGATGAGACCCTGTGTTCCATGTGGTTGAATTCTGGGGACCTTACTTGTGGCGATGTGGCTGGTGTTACTCTATGACTCAGTGCATTTATTTAGTGCCTGTGGTGTTCAGCATTGTGTAGTTAACATGCCTGACCTCAGACAAAGTTTGATCCCCTCTCCACGGTGGAGATTTTGAGTAACTTGCCCGCAAAGCTAGTAGGGCCTGGATGGGAAGCCAGATTCTCTGTCACAACCTCTTTCTGTCACAGCGAGGGCACTGGACCATCTCGTTACTGTTTAGCCCTTTTTGGGACCACAGACCCCTTCAGAAATCTGATGAAAGCGTTGGATCCTACTCCCAGAATGGAACAGTTTTACAGACAAGTTCAGGGCCGATCAAGCACTTTCTGAAGCTGTGTCTCAGTTGATTTTTTGGGATCCTTCCTGTGCCCTGGGTGTCTAGAAAGGGGGCTGGGCCGAGTCTGGGAAGCAGGGAAGGATGTGGTGGCTGTGGCGCCGGAGTGCCCCCGTTGACCTCTGCTTCCCCCCCAGGATGGCGGTCGTTCCCATCGTCATCAGCCTGACCCTGACCACGCTGCTGGGCAACGCCATCGCCTTTGCCACGGGGGTGCTGTACGGACTCTCTGCTCTGGGCAAAAAGTGCGTCTGCTGGGCCCAGCCCCTGGGCAGGGCCTGCCTTCCCCCCGCCGCCTCCCCTACCGAAGTTCCTCAGTGAGGAGGGTCTGAGAGTGGCTCCTTTTAGCCAGTGGAGACTGAGGCAGAGGCCCCAGTGACTCATCGGTGCCTCCAGGGCTCAGCTCTAGCAGGTGAAGACAGAGGATTCACAACACTTCTGCGTGGCCCAGTCTTGCCCTGTCACAGCCTGCAGCAAGGATAGCAAACATATGACTGGCGGGAGCCCCTTCCCCTCCCGGGTCTGCACTGGGCATTGTAGTCAGTTGCCACCCTCTCCTGCAGAGCCCAGACTGAGGCTGGTTCCTTCTCAGCCCAGCATCCCAAGAAGCCTGGGCCACTCTCAGAGGGGACAAGACAGGCCTTTGCCACCCCAGCAGTTGTCTCTGGGGAAATCAGAATGCCTGCAGGTCACACTTGGGTCACAGGGCAGGAACCGGGCAGTAGTCAGGAGGGCTGTGGGCGTGGGGCTGGCGCTCCACGTGACGCTGCCTCTCTCTCTCCCCAGGGGCGATGCGATCTCCTACGCTAGGATCCAGCAGCAGAGGCAGCAGGCAGATGAGGAGAAGCTCGCGGAGACCCTGGAGGGGTAGCTGTGAAGGGCTGGGCACCCCTCCCTCCCTGCCCCCTCCTCTGGCTCTGTGTGAGTCCAAGTGAGGCCTGGACTGTCCACACTGAGGCACAGCCTGGAGAGGGGCTTCTGCACCTGCCCCTACACCTGCAGTCCTCTGCTCCTTTCTCCAGACTTGCTGAAGCCAGGAGCCCCTGGCTGCTGGTGTGAGAGTCTGGGCTGCTGGACTTGAGGCTGAGCCGAGCAGAGCCTGCAGCAGCTGTGTGGACACCAGCTGGCCTTGCTCCTCCGCTGGGTGGGTCTGCAGACCTCACACCACAGACAGGGCTGCCAGTGACCTGCTGTGACCTGGCAGCAGCCTCCCCTGGAGATGCTGGTCCTGGCTTGAGGGGAGGTGCAAGTGGGACCCTGCCACCTGGCACTGAGCAGAGGGACCTCCCCCAGCTCTCTCGGCAGGTAGAGCCCCAGGGTCCAGGACAGCCTGCCACTGCCAGCAACCTCCCACCACTGCTTAGGGTGCAGCGCTCACTGCCACCCCGCCTTCTCAAGAAGCCCATAGGGCCCCTAAGGTGCATCCCTGTACCTGGAACTGCAGCCTCGGCAGTGACCGGACAGCTGGGTGGGGGATGCTCCCTGCTGACTCCTGGAACCTTGGACAGGCCACCCCAAGACCCCTCAGCTGCCCCTGCTCCCTGGGCCTGCTAAGGCCCCTAGGTTCTGCCCATCACCACCCTCCCCGGCTGGCTTTGGTGCTAAGGAAGTAGGGAGAGCAGGCTCTCCCTGGCCTCACTGGGGGTGCTCACCCTCTCCCTGGTGTGGCCCCATCATGGGTCAGTGGGTCTGACCTCAGCACCCACTCAGGTTCTCCTGCCGGCCTGCCCAAGTCCTGCCCTCAGGGAGCTTCTGCCTTTTAAGAACTGGGCAGAGGCCACAGTCACCTCCCCACACAGAGCCGTCCTCACTGCCCTGGGTGCCAGGCCATCTGGAGCCAGGCCTACCCAGGGAGGACACGGAGAGCTGGCGCCCAGGAAGTGTATCCCCGTATTCCCTCTGCCCCGTGGCCTCAGCCCGCTGGCCTCTCTGACTGTGAGGCTGGCTCTTGGCTGTGGGGCAGGTGCCTGGTCGGGCCTGGCTTAGCCCGGGTGGGGCCTGGCAGAAGTGGGAGGGTATGGAAGATATTCCATCTGGGTCCGACCCCAGGCTGGGCCTGTGCTGAGCTTCGGGAGCAGAGGTACTGGGTCTTGCTAAGTGGACTGTTTCCCAGGAACACCTCTTGGGCCCATCTGCGTCTGAGGCTGGGAGTGGCAGGCTGGTGGGCTGGGTGTGGGGTTCTTTGGGTCCTGCCCAGTACTGCCCTGGGGACTTGTCTGTGGGCTCCTGGGGCAGCAGCACCCCACCCCCGGGAGTCTGGCCAGCTGAGCCCCAGGGTGGCAGGGGCATTACAGCCTGGTGGACACGTGCCTTCAGGGTTCCTCCGGGGCCACTCTCCTCAGGCCAGTGCTGGGTTCAAAGGGCTATGTGTGTGTGTGTGTATATGTATGTGTGCGCGTGCACGCATTTGTCCCATGTATGCAGTGAGCAAGACCTGTCTACCTCCCACGAGAAGCAAGGGCTCTGCCCGCCCTCTGCTCATTCCTACCCAGGTAGTGGGGCCCCGGGCCCCCTTCTGCCTGGCCTGCCTGCTGCTGCCCCTGCCAGAGGGGCCTCAGTGACAGCCAGAGACAGCAGAAGGGTTGGCTATGGATCAAGGAAGGCTGCCCCTGTGCCCTGTGAGGAAATGGTGGGTGCACAGCTGGATTCAGAGGTGGAAGGCCCTCAGCCACAGGCCAGAGCAGGCGGGTCACCTGTCCCAGGTTCCCAGCAAGTCTGCAGCTGTGCGGACCTGGGGCCTCTGACCCTGTCTCCCAGGGAGTGCGCTGTCCAGCAGGGGCCCTGCCTTGCAAGGAACATCTCTTATAGCGGCCAGGCCACTCCTGCCTCGTCTGGGCTGTGTGTGGCGCTCTTTCCCCCTTGTCTGCACCTCTGTGTTGTGTGTGCGTCTTGAGCAATAAAGCGCGGCCGTGGCTCGCGTGCCTGTGCTCACTCCCTTCTGCTTTGGTGCCTGTGTGTGTGTGTGGAAGCCAGGCAGGAGCCGCTGGCCCAGGAAATAACTACAGGTCCTGTCCCGAGGCTGCCTCTGGCATCACAGACAAGGAAAGTGACCTGCCCAAGGTCACACAGTTAGAAAGAGGAGACTGTTAAGGGTGGCCCTCGCTGTGGACTTCCCCTCACAGCAGCCTCTTCCCTGCCCTGCTTGGTTGTGGATCAGCAGTCAGTGGCCCTGGCAACCTTGGCTGGTTCGGGTCTAGCCTGGCTGCTGTGGGGGCTCCCCTCCTGGAGTAGACCCCACTCTTTCCTTGCTAGGGCTACAGGCCCAGTTCCTTTATTTTTATAAAAGGGTGAACACAGTTTGCGGATAGGAGCTGCCTGTTCCCAGAGGTTGGGCTGGGGCAGGAGGAAGTGGCCACGCCAGGTCCTTTGCCCTGGCTTTTTTTTTTTTTGAAGGGGGGGCAGGGGGAACGGAGTTTCACTCCCGTTGCCCAGGCTGGAGTGCAATGGCATGATCTCAGCTCACTGCAGCCTCCACCTCCCGGGTTCAAGCAATTCTGCCTCAGCCTCCCAAGCAGCTGGAACTACAGGTGTACACCACCACACCTGGCTTTTTTGTATTTGTTAGTAGAGACGGGGTTTTACCATGTTGGCCAGGCTGGTCTTGAACTCCTGGCCTCGGGTAATCCGCCTGCTTCGGCCTCCAAAAGTGCTGGGATTACAAGCATGAGCCACTGCGCCTGGCCTGCCCTGGCTTTTGAAGTCCAGGATGTTCCCTGTGGTGTCCACAAGACTTGGGGGGGCAGAGCCGGGTCTTCCTTGCACAGCCAGATGCCACCAGATCAGAACGCGAAGATATGACTACATTACTCGGCTGCCTCCAGCCCGGTCCTCTCAGTCCTCCCCGTAGCCTTCTGTGGGGTGTGTCCTTCACACAAGGGTAAAGGACTAGGTCTGAGGTCACCCACTAGGGCCGTGTCCCTGGACGCAGGGTTGTGTGCTCTCCTGCGGCCCATGGCTACGTGCAGCACTGCGGGCCGCCTGAGCTGGGGCTGCGGCTGGACAGCAGTGCTACCTGTCCGGAGCCAGGGGCACGCGCTGCTGAGGCCCCATCACGCTGCTCTTCCTGTCCTCTGGCTGGTGGCAGGGATGACTGCTGCCTCTTGGTCCCAGGGTGCAGGATTGCAGCCAACACAGGCCCAGCCACTGGGGGTTTGGCCCCCTCCAGGCGGGGACCATGACCTAGCGCAAGAAGGACCTTCTCCCCGTGCGGAAGAAGGACTCGATCTGCTCCAGGGACCGTCCCTTGGTCTCGGGCACACAGCAGCCTGTGAACACCAGGCTCACCAAGCAGATGGCCGCGAAGAAGAAGAAAGGCACCTGGAGGCCGAAGGCGCTCTGTGGGTAGAGAGCGGGCCTGGGTCACAGGGAGAAGATCCAGGGTCCTCCTGCCCCAGGAGGAGCTCATGGGCCCTGCTGGTAGCAACCAGCCGTGTAGGGCCTCATCTGGTCCTTCCTGTGTTCAGAGACAGCTCCCCGACACCAAGGCTCCCCCACTGCCCCCAGGACAAATCCGAAGGCTTTAGCCCCCTGTTTGTGGCCCTCGAAGTCTGCATCCCGTCTGCCCCTCAGCCTTCCTCAGAGGCTGGGCCCTCTGGCCTCAGCTCAGGTAGCCCCTCCACACGCCTTACCCAGCGCTGGCGTCCCAGCTGTTCCACGCCGCAGCCTACAGGAGGCCCGCCCCACAGCCTGGTAGGCACGCAGGTTCTTCTTGGACCCTCTAAGCTGATGGACTCACTCTGGGTTGCCTGCCCTCCCCCGACCCCACTGAGGGGACCACTTCGGGGACAGGTTAGCCGCTGGCCTGGGCTGCCCTAGCCAGCTTCTCCCTCATGGGAACTTACTCTGGGCCTCACAGATTCTGGCTGGTCACAGGGCCCGTAGTTTTGAATCAGGAGGCAGGGGGAGCGGGAGGGGTTGGGGGGAGCGTGTGGGAGGGGAAGGGGGTGTTGTGGGGGTGCAGCTGAGACCCAGTGCCCAGGAGGGCGGGAGATGGAGCATGGTGGGGAGGTGGTCTTCCTGGGCTTCCGGCAGGGTTCTGGGCCATGTCCTGCCCTGGCCTGGGAGGTAACCTGACTTCTCAGAACAGTCTCCCAAGCCCGTTCCTGTTTCTCGTAATGAAGAGCCTTTGTCGGACTGTCACGTGACCACTCTGGGGCCTCTGAGTTCAAGGGGTGTGTGCTCATCTCCTAGCATCACTGAGAGTTAGGGGCCTGACAGAGCTGGCCTTAGCATAGCCCCTGGCACTGAGAAGGGTCCTGGTCAGTCAGAGAAGGCCTGGGGGCCCGGGGCTGAGCACTCACCACCACTGGCAGGAAGGACTTGGTGAGGACGAAGGCGGTGAGCCAGCTGGCCAGCACGCAGAGCCCCGAGGCCACGCCACGGGCCCGCAGGGGCAGGACCTCAGACATGAGCAGCCAGGTGATGGGGCCCCAGCCCATGGCGTAGCCTGCTCGGAGGAGGAGGCAGGCTGAGGCCCTGTGGGGCGACTGGAGGCGGCTGTGTCTGTCTCCACTGAGCTGCTGGAGACCCCCTTCTCCAGCCACCCCAGACACATCACCCATCCCTTAACACCCGAGACAGCCTGCCCCCTGAGCCACCGCCACACCTACCCATAATGAAGAACATGGTGGCCAGCAGGGGCACCAGGGTGAGGTAGCCAGCGGGTGCTGCCAGGGGCTGCGCCAAGTTCCCCCAGGACTCACTTTCCAGGCCCGCAGTGCTGTTGGGGCTCAGAGGCCTGGGGCCAAAGTGGATGTACAGCCCCAGAGTCAGGTTGGCAGCAAACATGATGGCCGCTGTGGACAGACAGGTGGCCTCGTGGGGCCAGGACCCTCTGAGCCAGCTGTTTTTCTCAGAGTTCTTTCTGCAGAGCCCCTTGATACTTGCGTGGTCCAGCCCGTGTCTGGGACTAGAGACCCCTGGCAGGGCAGCAAGCTCTGTCTCCAGCCACGTGTCAGGCTCCCACCATGCCCACCATGGAGTGTCACAGCCAGTGTGTCCACTCGGAGCCCCAGTGGACCTTTCTGGAGCCACTGGCCAGGGCCAAGGCCCTGCTGATGCTACGGAGGCAGGTGCCCTGCAATTCCTAGACACACAGCCCCATCCCGAGGCAGGCCTGCACACCCAGCCCAGCCCCGACCCATGCGGAGGAGTGGGGCAGGAGGGCTGGCTGCAGGGTGCTTACCTGAGACGAAGAGCAGCACCTTGCGGCCAGCGAGGTCCATGGTAAGGGCAGCGATCAGCACAGACAGGAGCCGCACAGCCCCAACGATGGCTGCGTCATCCTTCGGGGGCTATGGGGAGGGAGGCCACCAGGGTTGAGGGACTTGCCTGCTGTTCCCATCCCCGTCCAGGACCCAGCTTGTCCCTGCCGGCACTGCAGGGGCTCAGGCCAGCAGCTCAGCGCAGAACTGAGTGGTCTGGCGCCTGCAGCATGCTGGGCATCTACACTGTCCAGGCCTACGGGGCCTCCTGGGCAGGCACACATCTGCTCTGCCCACCACTACCCTCAGCTGGCACAGAATCCAGGCGTAATGATGACTTGCCAAACCGTGCTGTTACTAATCTCCAAATCTCATCTCACTCTGAGCCTTGGGGCAGGCCTACGGAGACGTGCTGCTATCTTCTTCTTGCAGAGGAGGAAGTTGAGGTTCAGAGGGGAAAGTGACTTCCCTCA